TGAATTTGTATTATTTTAGTATTTATCGAATAAACAAATTAGAAATTAAAGTACACCATTTTGCACTATGAATTTGTATTATTTAATTTTACTACGCTTTTTTTTTAGTACTTAATTTTATCCAATATTATTTAATTATTCATTATTTAATTGGCTGATGGTTTGTGTAACCAAAGATGATCCTGTGATCTGGAATCTTCTGATCGACGCCGGCATACTATAAAAGGTGCGATCTACATTGTCCAAATTTGGTATATTCCCAGACTGTACTATGGAAGAGATGACTGATTTTTTCAAGAAAACGAGATCAAATTGGTCGTTAATAAACTTTTTACAATACAGGCGGAAACAAGAAGATTTTTCATATGATAAAACTAAAGAGCACTCGGATTACAAAAAAGCATTAGAAACATTGATTGGCTGTGTTGATTATACAAATAAGGCAAAAAAATGGCTAGATACTTTTGAAGTTAAGTTTATACTCCTTTAGCAATTCGAGATTGGGCAATTTCATGTGTTCAAGGACTAGAATACGTTCCAATCACTGAGACAATAACGTGACGTATTGACAACCCCCGAATAAGCTGGCTGATTACATGTTGGCTGGCTAATAGTGGATTACGCGTTCCTTCGGCGTCCTTGAACTAAGAGCTAGAATACGTTTGGTCATTGAGACAGTAACGTGACATATTGACAATCCCGAGTAAGCTGGCCGATTACGTGTTGGCTAGTTGATGATTACGAGTTCCTCGGTGCTCTTACATGTTATTGCCAAAAGAAAATAGTTTAGAAAAGGAATATTAATGTTTTTTTGTTTTCTGATAACTAGAATGAAAGATCTTCCAAGAGTGTAAATAAATTCTGGATGACAGTCAACGAAGAACTAATTGATAGCAAAATAAAAAATGAAGAGGTTTGGAAACTACATATATTAATTTATATAAAATATAAATTGATAAATATCGATTCTTTATTATGAATAGAACGAATATGATTTAACTTTGACCACTAATGTCAATAAACAAATGGGAACGTACGTAAATGCTACCACTTCTCGTCTTACAAAACGATTTTTAGAGTGTGCGGAAGAAAGCCCTCCAAAACGCGTGCCAAAGGTTAGTACTGTGGATTTGAACCCATTGAGAATTTATTTGTTTTAATTTTACAAATTTTGGTTCTAGGAAGCAATAAACGATTCTCCCAATAATCCTTTTACTGTATCTGGAATACCTGGTGAGAGTAACTTGAATGACTCTGGAACGCCCGATGAAAGCAATTCAGATAAATCCTATTATCCCAGTTCAGACGAAGCAGATGATGATTCTTATATTGAATCGAAAAAAGGGAAGGCCAATCATAGTTATGATTGGTTCACTAGACCAGGCATTAAGAAGTCTGAATTAAGTGAAGACGCGAAAAAGGTAATATTTAAACTTTTATTTAAGTTTATTTAGAAGAGAGATCTTAATTTACTTTTCTTTTTTTACACAGTGGTTTATCGGCACGCTTGACGTTTCGAATTTATTGTTAGAATATCGGGATATGTCCATCCAAAAGGCATCTGATAATAAAATTGATGAGGTTGCCGAAATACTGTAAGTTTTAGACTTCCAAATCTTTTATATGAATTCGATTTTTAATAATGTTTTCCCATGATTGTTATAGTTCCTTGAATCATATATTTTTGTTTGAACAAAATGTATCAAGTGGAATTTCTTTAATGATCGAACCAGAATCATTAAAAAGTATTTTCAATAACATTAAAGAAGAATTTACACCCTATCAAATGTCTGATGATGATATTCTATGATGTCATAAAATGGCAAAGGTATGATTTTTAATATGATCTTAATATTGTGATCATTTATTGCAATTAATAACGTGCTTATTAAATAGACTGCAAGTGAAGATTTTGAAAAATGCAAGTCGTTATTAAGAAAATGGCAAAAAGAACTAGTTGATGATCAAGAAGATCTAATTCTAGAAATATTCGAGTCAATGTAAGTATTTGCAAAGAAAATAAAGAAAAATGTTATATCACTACTTATTTTGACATAAATTATTTTTTATTATATTATAGTATTAATACTTTTAACCCAGAAGTATATAGACAAGAATTAAAAGAGGACACTTTTGTACACGAAGTATTTGAACCTGTGATTAAACCTTTTTTCCGCAACATTAATTTTAAATGTGAATGGTAATTTTTTAACACAATTCTTTCTCTATCTTATATTGTAATTATAATGATTAAAATGTGTTATTGAATTATTTTCAGGTCAACTGACGTTCTGGAGGCATCCGCACATCGGAAACATAAATTTGACCCTTCATTACAGGGAAGAAAAGCCGATTTTTCAGTATATATGCCTATTAGAGGTAATAAATTTTATTTGCTTGTCTCGGAAATAAAGTCCGCCGATTTTATGTTATCAAATAAAAACAAAATCTCTTTGGAAGACTGTGATTTTGTGAAATTAGGCAATGAAATGAAGGATATATTGGATAAATGTATTAATAATGGAGTTGATAATAAAAATTTGATTATTTGTGGTTTATTAGTAGAAGGCAAGTTATATACATTTATACTTAAAATAATGACTCCATAATCTAATTTGCATTTTCTTTCATTCTTGTAATAGGCTTTCAATGTCGGCTATTTGTCATGGATTTAAAATACGAAGCAATATACCGGATGATCCTTTTGGGAAAATTTTATCTTCCTCAGGATAATTCGGATTTTAGCGTCCTTCCCACTTCAATCGAACGCCTTATGCAAATAAAAGTTGGTATGCAATTTATAAATATTATTTGATTTTATTGGATTCTATTACAATCTAATTTTGTCTTTTTTAAAAAGACTATAATGATCTGTTCTACTGAAGTCTGCAGAAAAGATATTCAAAATCTATCTAAACATAAAACAATTCAAAGAAATGTGATTTTACGTAATGAAATGACGCGACCATTTTTTCATACTCCAATAAAGATTCCCTGGAGTAATTAGTATAATCTCTAATTATATTTATAATGTTTTTCCATATAAAATTAAATCCTATATAGCTTTTTCACTCACCGCATGTAATCAATTATCTTAACGAATTAAAAAATAATGGTAGTTTAAAGTGTTGTAAATTGGTAGTATTCATGTGATTTTGACGTCGTTGAAATTTTCATTGCTTTGGTTATACATTTTAAATAAATAATAAGATATATACAATCTATTACTAAAATATGCAATCTGAGATTGATTCATTAAGACAACGAATTTCTGAGCTTGAAGCCGAAAAGGCTGAGCTCGAAGCCAAGAATGCCGAGCTTTTAAAACAGGTTATGGAAGAGAATGCCAGGCGAGAAGCTGAGAATGTTGAGCTCAAAGCCAGAATCGCCAAATTGGAACAAACCGCAGAAGAAAATACTGAGCTTAAAGATAGAATCACGAAATTGGAACGGAAACAGATGCAGGTTATTACTAATTATCAGAAGCTATCTCCTACAAAAGAAATTTCACCACTTATCAAGAGCCATTCTGATGAGAAGAAAGGTATTACTCCCAATCTCTTGCCTGAAATAGAACATATCTCAACCCAGGCCCAAAGGGGTGAATCTTTAGATTCATCTGAATCTTCAATAGAGCCTGAAATATCTACAACCTCTTTACCACAAGATATTATCAATGACGATTCAGCTGAGATCCTAGATTTTGTAGAAACGATACATAAGGAAAGGATTAGTAGTGAGATAAGAGAGAGGAACCAGAAAAAAAAACTTCAAGAATCACATAATAACTTAATACCACCAATACAATCTGAAACATCAACCATGTCGACACCTGAATCTCTGGACTTGAAAACTGTAAAAGAGCTTTGGGATCAGAATCAAAATAAAAACCAGAACAAATTGCACAAGAAAAAGAGAACCGAGAATATCACTCAAGTGATAGCTGATGGTATTCAAGATGATAATCTTTTAGATTCAAATCATGTGACAGAAATTTCAGCGACAGCTTTTCACCAAAATTCTTCTGTCTTATTACTTGATTTAGCACAATTATTTGATAAGGCAACTGATGCTAAATATAGCGCCATAAAAGCTAACCAAGAAGAAACTTTATGCTGGACTAATTATGGAAAAGAATTTATAATTCAGTATAATGATCTTGTGAAAAATAGTAATGGAAAAATTGGCGAGAAAAAGGCAAAGGGTATAATATATGATAAAATATTGGAACACCTTAATATCATCCGTGAAAGAAGGTCCAAGGAAATGGGATTACAGCTCCCAGAAATTTCGCGTAAAACTTTATGCAAAAAGACCCAAAAGGCCGTAAGGACTTATAAATTATTTGACAAAATAGGTATAGATAAAATTAAGTATCTTAAAGCATATAGCGCAAATTTTATTTCAGAATTGACCAACGAACAAATTCAAAAGATAATTGATAGTATTTCTAATCATGAGTCTAATATAGGAAATCACATGACTGAAATTTCAACGACAGCCTGTCGCCAAAATCATACAACCGAAATTGTGAGTACTTTACCAGAAACTGAGGTAAGTGCATTTTCTGAGAAGTAATCACCGGAAAAATCATCAGGATTTACCAAAATCCTATTTAACTAGGTCAGAATCCTGAAATTTATCACTTTACTAATTCAATCGTTACTGATAATATTTTAGTTTCTCTTACACTTTCATATTTGATACATATACCTAATATCAAGAACTAATCTTGCAAAAATAAAGATAAGTATCAGTAAAGTTTTTTTTTAATTAGTGAAAATTAAAGAATTACTCAGGTCGATTAACAATTGTCAAAATCTGTGATTGCTACAAACGTAAGATATAACTTAATTTTCTTATTGCTAGTGAATAAGATGCGTGCACTAAAAGAAGACCGGACTGCAGTCTCTAAAGTTTATAATTTATCAAACAAAATTAGTTATTAGCATTTTAATTAGAGCATATGTCGCCAGTCAGAATTGCTCAGAGGTTAGTAAGTTCGTTGTCTGGTTTTAAAGAAGATACTATAGATTATCTTAGCAATTGTCAATAGACATTAATTTAAGAAATGCATGTAAGAATTTAATTCGGATTAAGGAAGTTGTTCTTGGAACTAATATTTTTGAACGAATTCGTCATAATGAAATTTACATTGGGACGAATTGTTAAAGTTGTGTTTGCATTAAAATTATTGTGAATTACTGTAAAAAATTTTGGTATGAAACTTACTTATTATACCAGTAATTCTCAATGTGTGGCTAAGATTGGGCTGGTATAGTTATTTCGTAATTGCTATTCCAGTACTAACAAAAAAATGACTTGTATTGGAATTATCATGTTTTCTATTTGTTATTTGTTAATTATATTAGGTAACAGGCAGGTTAAAAAAGTTAAAAAAGAAAAAATCGTACGTACGTACGTACGTACGACATATAAAGGTGATCGACATATAACCATTACACATAAAATTGCTTAAAAAATTGTACACCCTAAAAATAACATTAGTTTAAAAATGGCGCCTATCGCTATCGCTATGAATATCCCTAATTAGTAGGTGGCATTTTTATCGTTACGCGAAAATACAGTACTTAATCATGTAATCTCTATAAAAAGATATTGTTATACAAATTACAACCAACAAAAAATATTACTACGTAGTACATATAATGCTTCTAATAGAGGCGTCTTTATATAGCGTTTAATAGCACCATTAAAATTCTACCTATTTCTAATATATCTACTATCTTTGTTATTTAGGGATCTCATTAAACTACAAATACTTAAGATTTTTGAGATTTCAAAAATTGATCATCACAGAACTGAAAGTGTTAATGTGTAAATTTCCCTTTCACAATGTGTTTACGTACAGTCATACGTACGAATGTATACCCATTTTAATTTAAACAAATATATCTATATGAATAACACTCGATAACTATAAGTTGCGTATAGTTGAAGAAAAGATGGTTTAGTTTTTATTATTAAGACGTACTAAAATCCTAAAAAAAAATCCAATTTCTAATTGTTTTTAGCAGTTACTCTATTAAGATATTTGTTTTAAAAAAATTTTATCCAAAGTACCTCCTCTTTCATATATATATATATATTTATTAAACAGATACGAGTGCTAAGATGGGTGAAGAAACTGCTGACTATTATGAAAATTTAGCTCGTCAAAATAAATTATTCATTCCCAAAAAAGATGCGACTAAAGATGAATTACTTAAAGCAAGCGTTGGATACACTGCCATTAAGATTCATGAACAGGATCCTTATTTTTTTATGGGATATTATAAGAACCAATATGCAATTGAAGATTTGTTTCACGAAGCTGAGAATGCTATGAAAGTTTCAGAAATTGCGAATGATGATGATGCTATTTGTTTAATTAATAAAGTTATTAAAGTTGAATATGATCAAATTAGAACACCTATTACAATTAAAGAGGCTTTAAATTGTTTGAAGTTACGTGATCAAGCATACCTTACTCAAGGAATTAAAGAAATTCATGATTTTGGCATTTCGAATTATAATGGAATAGAATATGCGATCAAGTATGACGATAATTCAACTAATTATGTTAAATTGAAAAATTTCAATTTAATTCAAAATGTTATTAAATGGCTTAACACTAAAAGATACAAGACACCGCATTTTGAGCAATCTGTTTTAGAATCTATTCGGATTGGAATTGGAATTAAAATTTGTTTGAAAGGTTTTAAACTACTAAATGGATTAAAAACCAGAATTCCTGAATTTATCAATAAATATGATATTGATTGTAAAAATGATAAAAACGATAAATATGACATCATTTTATTCCAATTCAGTAATTTCTTGTTTTATTATTTGAAAAATATTTTTGAATATGTAATTGGAAAAAAAATTAAAAGTGGATATGATCAAGATTTTGATCATTCTAAAGTAGATGAAGCAACTAAAATAAAATGGGTTGGATATGAAAACCGAGATAATTATCCTAAGAACCTCAATCATAGCAAGAAGAGACCAGTTTGTATTAAAGAAGATGGAATTTATTCAATTACTAATAATTACGCATTTAAATTTGAAAATATTTCTATCAGAGAAAAGAAAATTTTGTTAATTACTGATGCAAGTTATCCTTTTATTAGTGATTTTGATGCCTTTAAAATGCATGTTTTGTTTTATGATTTTAAAAATCCCTTTGATTACTTTTTAAATGACGTAATGGATAAGTTAGTTAATGGTAAATTAGTCAATGGTAAATTAGTTATGGATAAATCAGTTAATGGTAAAGTTAATAGTAAATTGGTTAATAGCAAATTGGTTAATAGCAAATTAGCCAATAGTAAATAGTTTCAATATTTATAATTTTACACAAATATGTTTGTAAATTTGAAAAATTTATGTACATACGTCATTTTGCAATTGGTAAACTATTTATTCTTTTATATCATTAATAAATTTTTTAGAGTAAATATTAATTATCGCTCTTTTCAATTTACTGTGACCATCAAATTATTGACAATCACATGGAAATCTTCAAAATTTCCTAATTTTAAGGTTTTTTTTGCGAATAAATATAAATTTCTTGCTAACAAATAAAAATTCACCAAATTCCTCTTTTATTTTCGTTTTTTCAATGCTTTATCAAGTAATATACAAGTGCTGGAGCTAAATAATATGGAAAATTTTAAGCCTTTTCTTGTATCATATTTCTTAATTTTTTTTTTTTTAAACTTTGAGCAAAGATATCTTGACAACCATCAAACTTGATGAACTTTTCTTATTTAAATTCTATAAACCAGTATAATACAAATAAAAAAAAGTTTATTAAATTTGGCTTGGTGGCTGTTGAGATATTTTCTTTCAAATTTTAAAAAATTCTCAAATAAAAGTTGCATCAAAATTTTCTCAAACTTTAAACGAAGATATCTCGATAACCACAAGTCAAATTCAATGAAGTTTTTTTTTTAATTATATGAATCAATAAAAAAACGTTTATCTAATTTAGCTTGTTAGTGTCAAGATATCTTCACTCAAAGTTTAAAAAATTCAACACCTATCAAAAACAATAAATTTTCTCAACTTTGAATAAAGATACCTCATCAAATAAACTAAATTCAATATCCATTTTTTTATTTGAGTTCTACGAACATGTAGAATTAAAAAAAAAATAAAAATAAAAATAACAAATTTGGCTTGGTATTGTCGAGATATCTTCGCTCAAAGGTTTTATAAAATCCAACATCTATCAAATAAAATTTTCTCAAAGTTATCGAATTTTTTTATTTGAATTTTACAGATCTGTAGAATTTAAATAAAAAAAGTGACCGAATTTGGCTTGGTATTTGTAAAGATATTTTTGCTCAAAAACTCGTGCCATCCATCAAAACAGAAGCTGCGCCATAATTTCTTATAATTTGGGTGAAGATATCTCATAAAATACTAAATCAAATTTAATTTGAATTCTACGTCTCCCTAAAATTCAAATAAAAAAAAATCCCATCAAATTTGGCCCGTTTTAAAAAATTCAAGTCTCTCAAATAGAAATTTTTTTCTCAAACTTTGAACGAATTTATCTTGACAACTATTAATCAAATTTTGATGAATTTTTTTATTTGAATTCTACAGATATAGAATTCAAATAAAAAAGAAAGGCTTATCAAAATTGAGTTGATGGCTATCAAGATATATCGCACAAGGTTCGAGAAAAATTCCATTGAATTTTTTTAACTTTGAGCAAAGGTTTCTCAACAATCGCCAGGCCAAATTTAATGACTTTTTTTTTTATTTGAATTCCACGAGTCAGTAGAATTCAAATAAAAAAAACTTCGTTAAATTTTGCCTAGTGTTTGTCGAGATATTTCGCTCAAAGTTTAAAAAAGTCTGAGATATGAATAATAGATTACCGATTTCCTCTATGAAATTTGATTGAAAAGAGCAATAATAAAAAAGAGAATTATAATTTTACTAGCTCTTAGGGCACGCACGATACCCGGGAGTGAGGGTTTGAATTTTATTTAGCATTTAGACAGGACCTCGGATAATTCTAAAAAGGGTACAATTACTAAAACCGGACATGTTTTTATCAAATTTGAACATTATTTTTGGCCCAAACTTTTCTAAATTCTGGTCAAATTAAATTTTAATTTTTATTTGACCAGAATTTTAAAAAAGTTTGGGGACAAAATGTTTGGAAATTTACTATTAACACAACTCGTACCTCTATTAGTATTATCCGGGGTCCTATTTAGACCCCAGAAAATTCTCTGTGTTTAAATTTTTTAGTTGCTTAAATTTAGCATGAACCCAGATTGGGTACAAATTTACCCGACTTGGGCCCATTTGAACCCGAATTGATTCAAATGAACCTGGCTTGGGTTCACTTGAACTCAAATTGAGTTGAAATAAACCCGAATTGGGTTCAAATGAACTCCAATTGGATCAAAATAAACCCAACTTGGATTCAAATTAATCCAAACTGGGCTCATCTATAATTTTTTTGATTTTTTTTTTAATATTTGATTTGTTTTCTATTTATTATTTAATTTTTTTAATCATTAATTTATTTATTTTTATTTTAATTGTTAATTTTTACTTGTTTCAAATTTTATTAGCTTTTTTTATTTTAATTTTTATAATCAACAAAAAAGAATACTAGATGTTTTTAATTTCGTAAGACTATAATATTTTTACTAATTATTTTAATTAATTATTGTATTTAATTAATAGATCAGTTTACTTGTAAAGCTACAGTCTTCTCCTCTACAGTCATCTCATATATAATCACACCCACTATATAAGCATCATTTTTTGAAAAATTATTGACAATATACTTATTAAAAAAGCTCTATATAATCACACTATTATTAAAATTTATAATCACATATTTTTTACTTAAAACACATAGTGTGATCATAGAGAAGGACGACTGTATTGCTAAAAGTCTTTTGCTTTCTATAATTTTTTCATAAGTAAATATACAATACTTCTCCAACAATAAAGTTCCAAACAGATATTATTCTAACAATTATAATATATATAAAACAAATAAATATTTGAATTTATTAGATAATAAACAAGAAACAAATAGGTTTTATTAATATTTGGTTAATATTTATTATACTGATAATTATAAAGTATTTAACATTAATAAATATATTAAAAAATAATAATATTTTTATTTTATACAAGATTAGATGAGCCTCTGCTTTTTCTTCTATTAATCATTGCTGTTGAGTTTGTGTGTATTTGAATTATTGTGATTTTTACTATCTGTTATTGTAAAAATTCTTTTTACAAAACTTTTTTATTATTCCAGCGACAAATAGTGTCAAGGTTGAGTTAGTTTTCATCAGAATTATCATGAATTCTATCATGAGTTGCTGTAAATAATCTATTATGAAACTTACTTGTTTTTCCATTAATACATGATATATTGTATGTTGAGCTGGTTTGCAATAAATTACCATAATTTCTATCATGAGTTATGCATTTTGTTATAGAACTTATCATTACTCTTTTCAATTTAGCTAGTTTTGATCAGTTTAATTTTTTGTGAAACCAATTAGCTGCATAATTAAATATATGTGGTTGCCATCAATAAAAATCAGGCAGATTGGCATTTTTAAAAAAATCTATACCTTAACTTTTATAACAAATATCTTGCTAATTTTTGAAGCCAGTTCAATAATTTAATATTCAAAAGAAATATTAAGTTCTAAGCTTTCTTTTGAATATTGAATTATCAAGATAGATTCAAAATTCATCAAGGTATGAGCTGTGAAAGTTAAGATATAGATTTTTTAAAAATGTCAATCTGCCTGATTTCTATTGATAGTAGCTAAAATTTGTTATATTTGTGAAGTCCATCTAATAAAGCTAGAGTTGGTACCCTAGCTATACTTAGGGTGCTAATTCTAAATAAATATAATAAAAATGGCAAAAAAAAAAACTTATGAAATGAGTTCTGAAAACATAATGAATTTAGATAACTACCTGTATTGCAATCATGAGATTTATAGTCAAACTCTTTCTGATGATCATTTGTTTCTAATTTTTTTAAGAACTTTTCTTAATAAATATATTATAACTAGTTGAAAAAGTAATAAGTAAGATAAGTTGGGAAACCTTAGCACCTGTTATTTAGAGGTAGTTCTCATACACTACCTGCTAACAGGTTTAGAGTTTATTACTTACTACAGTAACAGAGAGCACTTGTTATTTAAAAGTAGTTCTTATATACTACTTGCCAACAAGCCCAGAGTTTATTACTTACTTGTTAATGGTTTTTTAAGTATCTACTTTTTGCTTGGTTGACAAATCACTAGTATATTTTGCAAAAAAAGTATACATACTTCTTTGGTTTGAAACTGGTAGTTCTTTTTACCTCTCACTAACCTCACCAAAATTTTGACAAAAATGGGCATTCCAGCTTACCCCCTTTAAAGATTGGCATTTGTTTATTTTTCTTTTTTAGATGGGCTTAGTAGGCACAACATAGGATTGGCAAATTTATATGTGTTTGTTTCAATGATGACTTTACATCACATGACATAATATCAGCACTTCAGCAGAAACGATTTCAGAGGAATCAACCGAGACAAGCACATTATCCAATCCAACTCATGACCATATTTACTTTCGTAATAAGATATTGTGGAGATATTCTGATCTATATAAAGAATTTAGTAGTGAAAAATTTGATTATTATGGAATTCATAAGGGGTCCTTATGTCTAGTATGCAAGCACAGTCACAAGGAAGGAAAAAGTGTAAAGGGTAGATACGAAGCTGGATCTTATTTTATTAAATGTGGAAAGCATGAAATCGAGATAACAGCATAAATCATAAAGACATACTGCCTTCGACAAATTCTCCGGTTTCAAATGATCATAAATATTAACTATATTATTTTTAGTTACTATTTCGGGATATGCACAGAGTGTCAGCATGTAAGTATCCTTGTTATATAAGTAAGACAAAGACACAACTCATACTTAATTTGAATTTGTGATCGTATAAAACAATAACATGGATAAAGTCTTGACTCCTGAATATTCGGACTGGCATGCTAATTTAGTTGATTTACCAAGTTCTCAGACAGATAAAATTCGTTTGAGCTTATATAGAGCATATACGGAAGAGACTGGACTCAATCTTTGGATAAAGTCTGAAACTCCCGAATCCCCACAAATTGAAAAGGATGCCGAAAAAAAGACGTTATTTGTACCACAGATAAATGTTTTGTCTACACCATCCAAACTTCGATCATTAATTTCTATTCTATCTAAAAACCCGAAAGAGAAACAAAAACATGTTATTGAAATGGTATTAGAACGATTTCCTTATTTAACTTTGAAACATAGTTTTAAATCTAGTAATTATTTTGATTTTAATAGATCTGTACCCTGTCCTTTATGTGATAAAAACCATAAGAAAGAAAATATAAGAAATCATATAGAGGGCGAATGGGGGAGTGGCGATTATGTCAATACAAAAACTTATCGTCTCTATTGTTATATAAATAAATATCAGAATTCAATCCCAATAGTAACGGTAAAAGCATAGGTTAATAAGTAAAGCCCATTCACACAATCGCATTAAAATAAAAGATGGTGAGGCTATAAGACCCCACTTTATTTCATAAAAAAATTACCGAGATGGTATACAAATAAGAAAATAAAATAAAAAAATATATGCCTCTTTGAGGCGCCCTTAATGGACTAGGTTGGTGGGTTTACATTTGATCTAACATATCATCCCGTTTACCAGGATTTACCCAATCATTATCATCATTGTCCCTATCACGTTCTAGGTTTTTTTTCGACATTTTTCCCCAGATATTATCATCTAATTTTTAGAAAAATAAAAATTTTAGTTCTGATAATAATATTTCAGCGCGAATGTACTGGCATGGCACAAAATTTACTTACAAGATAAAAATTGTCTCGGCTTGTATTGTTTGATTTAGAATAGTTGGGGGTCTTATTTTTCTTGTTCTTAGAGGTGGTGGTTTTTTTGTTACTGCTCATTTTTCATACCTAAATACAAAAAACAAAGTAAGCAAAAATTCATTTTCATAGTCTCCATTAAATAAAATAGCAAATTACTTAAAAAATAAATTACGGGCAAGTAGACAAATAAATTTATATATGAGCAAAAAATAACGTTATTGCTAACTTATCTTACGGGTGGGAACTTGCTTATTTTATACCATTCATTCGTTAGATCTTAGAACCTACCAGAAAAAAAAAGTACACGATTAGTAAGTAAATAACAGAATAAAGCAGAATAAAGCAACTCCACTCGGCCATAAGTTCAAAATACTGGGTCTATTTTGTTATTTTTCTGGTAAAATTAACTCCCTTAGATTCGACGATCGTTTCTGCGAAGTGAAAAAAGTCAATGATTTTGACAATCTGGGAATTCCAAGTCCCTTATGACATATAAATTTGGATAAAACTACTGATAAGGAACGTTATACTTATTACCCTTATAGCCTTTTTAAGCCCCATTCTTATCGCAGGATCATATAGGTCTAGACATTATTCGCATTATTCGTAATATTTGTTATTAATAAAAATTAATCATGAGAATTAATCCTGCAGGAGAGTGGCACAAACTCATTTCTAATTTTATGCGATTTATAATATTGTAACGCAATAAAAAGATTTTTAAATTATTCTCACTACGTATGTATATTAAAAGGTTATAAACTGTTAAGCCACTGTTGGCTTTTTCTTAATAAACATATATAAAATCGCTAAGCCACTATACATGCACTTACGTGCCTGATCAAACATCCGTGTTATGCAATCGATTTTATTACTAGAAATATCAGACATTTTCTGAGACTTTATTTTTTATTTTTTTGGTAAAATAGCGATATATCCACATGTATACAGCAGGCCCATAGGGCAACTCAAAGAGTCATAATTGTACTATTTTTATTAAATAAAGAAAAGTGATTGAGGATCTTTATCTTTCCTCTTCATTTATCGATT